CAGCCCGGGGCCTGCGGCTCTGCCGGCCTGCCTTGAATCCCTCGGAATCACTGCCCCGGGTCGTGTATATCAACCTCAGGCCGCCCTGCAATGGGTGGACTTGACATAACGTGTTTCTAAAACCAGAGCAATGACAGTACTGCCCTGCAGAGCTGCATCTTACCCCGTGGCTAACCTCCGAGTCAGGGGTGTGTGTGTTTGGGTGTGCACACACATGCATGCATGTGTATGCGTGTGTTTCACGCACATTCTGCCGGTTGGCATGCGGAAAGAGTATTATCTTCCTTCTGTCCGTGGATTGGATTATATCATCTACTTGTCTCCCAGGCCCATTTAGTGAGCAGAAGTGGTCAGAGGTTGGATGGGGGTACTGCAGGAGGTCTCGGAGCTACAGGAAGAAGTGTTCCCGAGTGGGGAAATGGAAGCAGAGCTGGCGGGGCCTGGGGTGGCAGCGTGTTGCTGCAGAGGCTCCCAAGCTTGAAGACTGCTGAGGCCCACCAAGCAGCTGGTAGACCAGACAGACGGCCGGTGCTTTCACGTACTGGCAAGGGTTGAGGGAGTAGTTCTTCCACCTGTACCGACGTTACCTGGACTGACATCCATGTGGGGCTCTCTCAGAGCTTGGAGTGGAAGTATTTATTGAGTAAAGAATTACAGCCAAGGCCATGGACCACTCTTAAAGGATAATTCCGACAAGCCTGATCAAGGCCCCATTCTGCACTTGAGGGATGTGTTCTAAAAAAGCAGGGAGGGATCTCTGGTCTAAAGCCAAAGTACACTCTCCCCTGGCCAGGCCTGGAGATACCTGTTCATGCTCCTTTCTAGATTCCACTCTTTCTAGATTATCAGTCGTACTTATGAGTACTTATCAGTGGGTTTCCCTTATCTAGCACATACTGCCCTTTGCAGCCTGATCTTATATAAAATGTTTTAGGGCAGCTGCTTCCTGGAGAGTCTTTGAATGAGAAAGAAACACTTTCCATTGTGGCTGGATCTTCTTTTTTCTTACTTTTAACACTTGCTGTCCCCTCTACCCGGAATATACTGCCCCCAGATTTTCTTCCCTCCTTTTTAAATTGAGACATGATTCACATACCGTGAGACTCACCCTTTTAAAGCAAATGGTTAGTTGTTTTTTTCAGTATGCTCACAAGGTCTTGCAATCATCACCACTGTCTAATTCCAGGATATTTCCAACCCAGAAAGAAACCCAGGACTCATATGCCTTCACTCCCTGTCCTCCTTCTCCCCAATCCCTGGCTGCCACTCATCTACTTTCTGTCCATAGATATGCTTGTTCTGGACATTTCATACAAATAAAAGTGTACACTATGTGGTCTTTGGTGACTAACGTCTTTCCCTGAGCATGAAGTTTTTAAGATTCATCCACGTTGTCATGTATATTAGAACTTCCTTTCTTTTAGGAGCACCTGGGTGGCTCAGTCAGTTAAGTGGCCGACTCTTGATGTCGGCTCAGGTCGTGATCTCAGGGTCATGAGATTGAACCCCATGTCCAGCTCTGAGCTCAGCAAGGAGCCTGCTTAAGGATTCTCTCTTCTCCTTTTCCCTCTTCCCACTCTCTCTTGTTCTCTCTTTCAAATAAATAAACAAATAAATATTAAGGGAGGGGGACTTCCTTCTTTATGGCCATATAATATTCCCTTGTATGGACGTACCACAGGTTATGTATCCAGTCTTGGGTTGGTAGACGTCTGGGTTGTTTCCAGTTGTAGCTGTCATGAATAATGCTGCCATGAACAATCATGTACAAGTCCTACCTCTTGCCAGTGAGTAAAGAACTTCTGCTAACCCAGATCAGCAGCTAGCCTGATGGCAGATGTGTGCCCCAGCACAGATTTTCTCTCTCTTCATCTTCTGCTGGCCTCATTTGCTCCTATTGATCCCAGCTACCCTTATCTTGGGAGAAGTGTGGCAGCTTCTTGAGTTGTGTGTGTCACTTGGGGCCAACCACCAGCTTGAGAAACAAAGTGGCTGATGGCAGAGCGTCCTCCAGTGAAGCTTGTGTAACTAGTGTGCCCTGTTTTATGAAAGTACTATGTGAGTGCCCCGGGAAGGTAACACTCATTCATTTATTCACCGAGACGCCCTAGCCTGGGGCTCCAGGTGGTCTTGGGGCTGGGACCACTCCTCCAGAGCCCTGGCCTGGGTTGTTCCTGGGGACAGAGGGCCTCAGAAGTGCAGAACTTTGTTCTGTCACCTTTGTCGCTTTCTTAGCTGGTCTCTGGCCTCCCCTGGGCTTTGCCATTCTCAGGCCACAAAGGACACAGGCGGAGCTTCCCCATCCTTCTCCAGCTCCACACCTGGGTCACCAGGCCCTCTGTAATCCCTCTGCCTTCCCCAACTCACCCCCCCTTCCCCTGCAGACCACCTCTGCCAGACTCTCTGTCAGGACTGGAGGCTCCATGAGGAGAGGGACCAGAGCAGCCTTGCTCCTTTTGGCAGACCCAGCCCTGAGCAGAGCCTCAGGATGATGAGAAAGATGATGAAGGCGAGGGTGACAGTGGCACCCCTGGAAATATTTATTGAGGTTCACTACGTACCAGGCACTAGTCTACATTCTTTACATGCTTATCAACTCAATGAACTCGCACAAGAACCCTAGGAGATTGATGCTCTTATTAGAGATGTGGAAACTGAGTCATGTGGAGGGGAGGTTATCTATCAAAGTCACAGAATCATCAAAAGGAAGCGCCGGGAGCTTACTGTTCACAGTACAGCTCCAGATCCCATGCTTTGACTACCATGTTAGCCCTGTGTGTACACGCATGTATATTAATGTGGGGGAGGCAGATGGGTGGACACAGAGGTCACAGCAGGGGCTTTGTGGCTTTGTGAGAGGCCCCGAGTGGCCTGGCAGGTCCTCTGGGCCACACTGAGTTTGATGGGGAGCTAGGACTCCTGCTGAGGCTGAGCCCCTGGGGCAGCTGCCTACTGCTACGGTGTGTGGGTCAGAGCCCCAGACCCTGATGCCCAGGCAGGGAGGCCACACGTCCCAGGCCTGTGGAGGGCCCAGCGTTGCGGACAGCTCTATCTGCTCAGCCTCACAGGGAGGTCCCTATCCCGGCCACTGGCTTGAGAGGGAGCCTCAGCTTCCTTCCATTGTCTACGTGGGGCACACCCAGCGTGTTCCTGTGGTGACCCGAGGCCAGGAGGGAGAGAAGGGGCCAGCCTGGAGCTGGGTCAGGATGGGAGAGGGGAAATGAGAGGGGAAGACTTCGTGTTTTTCCTTGTTTGTGTTTTGTATTAAAGAAAAGCATATAATATCCTTTGAGAAAACCATTAAACAAAGCACATCCTAAAGCTGCCGAGCCCATTGTGGCTGCCTGGAGCCCGGAATTCATTCATGCCTTTTTGGCCAGATTGCTGGAGGCAAGAGACAGGGCAGGAGGGAGGGCCTGTTATTACAATAAATGTTGAAATGTGTAATTCCCAACCTGGACTCAATAGGAGGCTAGGCCAAGCATCCATAATGCCAGGGCCCCTGTGCCCTCCTGCATCTCTTGCCTGCTGGCCTCCTACTGCCCCAGCTCAAGAATCTCCTTGCACCTGGCCAGAGCTGTCAACATCCACCCCGCCTTGGTTGGGGCTGAGCCCCGAGAAGGTGGGCCCAGTGGGGCCCTCCACTGCAAACCCTGAAACCAGAGGGCTGGACCTAGAGGATCTGGGCCTCAGCCTCCCAATCTAGAAAGAGGGAGGGTTGTCCTCAAGGGACTCTCAGTGACCACTCTCCAGCACACTGGGCATTGTCACCTCTTCTCGCCCCACACGTGGCGTGGGGGATCACACTCAGGCTACAGACTGCATCAGAACCTGTACACAGGTATCCCAGACCCAAGTCAGACCACTCCCTCCTCCCAGCCCTCCAGGCCTGGGTCCCCTTGGGCAACCCCCTGCCCAGTCACTCCCACCAGACCACCCATGATGTGATGACAGTGCTCTGCCCCATGTCCCACCAGAACACACTCTTCTGTCTAAGGAGGCCAACGATCAGAACAGAGCTGGCCATCCATCAGCCCAGCTTCCAAGCTGTAGATAATTCTGCATGGGGCCTGGCATTTGCAGGATCAGGCCCGTGTTATAAGCAGAGGGTCCACTGGCCACCTTGACATAGATGTAGAGTTGTTGTCCTGGTGACAATATACAGAAGACCATCCTTAGGATTTCCCCCAGTCTAAAGATCAAAAAAAGCATTTAGCTATTCTGTGTTTCCCCTAAGCACTCCCCAGGAGTGTGAGGGGTGAGGGTCCTGGGTTAGAATTGCACAAGCCCGGAGGGGCAGCCCGGGTAGCTTAGTGGTTTAGCACCACCTTTGGCCCAGGGCGTGATCCTGGAGACCCAGGATCGAGTCCCACGTCAGGCTCCCTGCATGGAGCCTGCTTCTCCCTCTGCCTGTGTCTCTGCCTGTGTGTGCGTGTGTGTGTGTGTCATGAATAAATAAATAAAATCTTTAAAAAAAAAAAAAAAGAATTGCATGAGCCATCCTGGGCCCGGGTGAGGCAGCCGGGGTCCTGGCATACCGCGTCAGCTTGAGGTCCTCTCCTTGGTCCTCTTAACAGCCCAGAGACAATGCCGACATTCCCACCGTCTCGGAAAGCATAGAGGAGTGTTTGAAACAGTAATTTGTCCGTGGTCAGGCAGCCGTGAACCCGGGATCTGGTCCCAGCTCTGTTGCTAATTCTCTGTAAGACCTTGAACAGGTTCATTCACCCCTCTGGACCCCAATGTCATCATCTGGAATTTGAATGACTGGATATGACAAATTCCACGATCTCCTTTGTGTGTCTGCCATTCTTTGGTTCTGGGACCCCAGCATCATTGTCTGGTGGGAAATTGATCAACGTCACATTTTCCATTTTTCCTCTTTGCCCAATTTCCTCTTTGCCGTTGAGGTTATGATCAATAGCTACGTGTAAGAAGTGTGAGAAGATCTTTGCTCTCTTGCGCAAGTCCCTAACCATCTGCCTTCCTCCCGCACGCAGGGCTACCACCCGATGCCCCACGAGGTGGAGATCGCCCACACGAAGAAGCTGTTTCGGAGGCGGAGAAATGACCGAAGGTAGGGAGACTCCATGGAGAGTTTTGAGTTTTCTGTCCTTGGCCATCCATCCATCACTGCGTCAGGTCTGGCCGTGGTTTTGCTTTCCTCAATGACCAGCAGATGCCTAGGAGATGACGCAGTGGCGTCGGGCACCCGTGGGGCAGCAGGACTAGCCCGGGGAGTGGCTCCATCCCTTCATGAGTCCAGGGCAGGGTGTAGGTTTTGCAGTTCAGGAGGAGAAATGTTCTTTCCATGTACAGCAACATCAGCAGTCCTCAGGGGACTAGGTCCTAGGCGACGTGTGTTTAAGTTGTGGCCTCCAGGAGGCTCCGCCGCTCGCAAGTACAAGGGAACCCGGCTCTCCTCCTCTTGCCCAGTCACTGAAAGTTGATCCTGGCTGTGGCCACAGGATCAGGCCAACGTGCTCCTGTCCTCCAGTGTCTGAGGAGCTCCCTGACCCTGAGGCCAAACCCAGGGTCTCCCCACTGAGCAGCCTTGCTGGATGATAGCAAGGGGCCAGAAAAAGTGCCACGAGGCAGCCCCGGACGCACAAGCAGCTGAGGCTGGGCCCCCCAGGAAGGCATGTGCCTCCGCCCCTTGGAGCCTTTCTTACATGGAACGGTGTTCATGGTATATTTTCAAATGGGAGCTCCAGGCACAGAGTTGTGCCCACTGTCTGTGGATGTTCATAGTAAAGCAGGATCAGAGTATATTTTTTTTGTTCGAATATGCGTAAATTATTTCTGGTTGGAACTTTTTTAAAAAGGAAGGAAGGGAAGTAGATGGCAAAGGAGGAAAGAAAAAAGACTTCTGCCCAAGGAATTAAAATGAAGCAAGTTCCTGGATAGGGAATTTCTTCTTCTTGGGTCAAAGTGATGGCCTGTGGTTTCACCTTTCAATGAACAGAGAATATTCTCATTGAAACCAAGGAACAGTCCAGCTGACACCCCTTACTCAGAAACCAGAGATTCCTGTTGTCCTGCTGCCCCCCCTTGAAATGAGGGCTGTGGTGGGCCAGGGTCCCTGGGCTGTCCCTCCACATGTGGGCCCTGAACAAGGGGTGTTGTGTGGTGGCCACGGCCCGGGCTGGATGGAGGACTGGGCACCTGGGACTCCTCATCATCAGCTGGTGAGTTTAGCCAGTCTGAGGCCTTCCCAGGGGACACCAACCATACAGCTAATTAGGAGGGAGGCCATCCTGGTTAGAAGTCAGAACCACTAGGCACATTATGGCAGCAGGAAAAGGGGAAATTCAGTTTCCTCTTGCTCACAAGGAAAGTTGACCAGGGTGTGGTTATTGCCCTGCGTGTGCCACCTCTGTGCTCTGCTGGCTCGCAAAGGCGCATTCCTTGACTCTGGGGGCCTGGTGGAGGGAAGAAGTAGGGAGAAAGGAGAACAGAATGCTCAAGGGACTGGGGAAGGGTCAGAGAGAGCAGAGGCTGGGTGTCCCTCCCCACCTCACCCCCTAGTCCCAAGCATGTGTCTGGAGGTGTGTGGGGAGTCCCCATGCTTCCGAGTGAAAAGTCACCCCCGAGCCCAGGAGCAGTGGCAGGCCACGGTCCGCATCCAGGTCAGCCACACCTTCCCCTGGGGGCCCGGCTCCTCAGCGTCCCTTGGACAGCGGCGGAATGTAGGAAGGGGAGCGTGACATGCACACACTGGGAAGCCGACCGTCCACTGAGCCACACTCGTGTTAACGAATGCCTGGTTAGGTCAGCACACCTCGCAGAGGATGTGGCCCCGGGACGGGGTCCAAAGCAAGGCAATAAAGATGATTAAAGGGATGGAAAGTATGTCCCGGGAGGAGAGGCTGACGGGCCGGGGCCGGGGCCAGGGAAGAGGAGGCTGCGGGGGAAGAACGGTCAGGCCAGTAACGCGAGAGATTTACACGGCGGGAAGGAGCAGCTGCGTCGCGGTCCTAGGGACCCAAAGCAGAGGACACTGGCCGGTAACAGGAGAGGCCAGCAGCCAGCGCGCCCAAAGATGCCCCCGGGGAGGAGCCGCCCGGACCTTCAGGGGGCCCGAGTGGGATCCCGGACAGCAGGCGGCAGACGCGGGCTTGTGTGCGGAGCGGCGGCCCGGGCAGGACGTCCGCGTTGTGTCCCAGCTCCGGCTGGACACCAGGCTGGGTGTGCCTGGAGTGCTCTGCGGGCCAGGGGGGAACGTCTGGGCCATGTGCCCCGGATTAGACCGGGTGTGGATTCCCCTGTTCACTGATGCTGCGGCCAGGGCAAAGAGCTGCACGCCCTGCCTCCCCCCCCCCCACCCCCCCGACAGTGGGTCTGCCGAGCCGGAGGCCTGAGCCATCCGATCCCTGTGAGGGCCCTGGAAGCGGTCTTAGCACTGGACCCCTCTGGAGTCCGAGGTATTGGGGGGCAGGTGAGAGGTGGGGCGATGGCTGCAGCGAGGGTGGGCTGTGCCCCACCCCCACCCCCACCCCCACCCCCACCCCCACCATGACCTTACTTGCGAGCCCAGGGATTGCTCTGTCCTGCATTCCCTCCAGGATCAGTTGTCCCTTCCGGATCCACTGCCCTGGGGCAGGCTCCTGCTCTGCCCTCGGGGGCTGCTCTGAGGGGCTCTGTGATTCTGTGATTCTAGCTGAGCAGTGACCTCCTTTGGCGGAGAAAGGTTAAGCTCATGAGCAGTTCCTAGGTTGTTTGTCCTTAAAAAAATGTTCTCAAAACATAACTAGTAACCACTTGTTTCTTTTGGGAAACTACTCAAAGGCGTTGCTGCATTCGGACAAAGTGATGGACAAAGCGATGCATCTCATGATACAATTGCACTAAATGAGTCTTTTGAGCATTCCCCAGGGAGCAGCATGTCCCGTGTGCTCAGTCCCCGGAGCCCTGCTGGCTGGAGGGCGGCCTGGGGAGGTTCCCCTCTGCCCCAACCACGCGCCCAGCAGGTGCAGGCAGAGGAACAGGCTCCCGGGGGGCTGAGTCCTGGCCATGCTGCTCACCACTGCCCAGTGTGGACCCTGGGTGAGGCCTCACCTGCTGGGGCGGCAGGATTTTCTCGACCTCCCCCCTCCCCCACCCTGCTCCATTTGCAGAGAGAGCAAACTGAGGCAATGGAGGCCCATGGGAGGCTGTGTTCCCTGGGAAGCAAACGCTGGGATGGAGATTAGTGGGCAGAGCATTTACTGAGGCATGACCCGTTGATCAACAGCTGTAGACGGGAAGGGCAGGGAGCAGGATTGGACAAAGGGAGAAGCTGAGCTGCAGTGCAGCCTGGCTGGGGAGTTCTGACCCCACAGAGAGGTGATTTCAGAGCTGCCCCAAGATGGAGTGAAGGAGCAGGTCTTTATATCCCCCTGCCCGCTCACTGGTCATTGGAGAGAACTGCCACAACCTTAGGTCAGCAAGTCTCCAGGCCCAGGGCAGTTTCTCTAGGGGCTGAGAGCCAGGGGGTGTCTGCCCCAGCAGCTGCAGCATCTGGTAGGGTTGGGCAGTGCACCATTCCTGAAGGGGGACCCAGGTGGTGCATCACAGCAAGCACCCCCGGTAGCAGGACTTAACTCTCTTACTGGGATTGATGGGGTGGCGCTCCATGCTCCGGAGAACACCAAGGAAGTGCCAAGCTTGGTCCCTGCTCTCCAGGGCTGGAGGTGTGGCTTGCCCAACCTTTTCTGGCTCCGGAAGCCCCCAGAACATGGTGTGCGACTGTGTAACATCTGAGTGTTCAGAGAAAGGAGCCAGTGAGAGGTGGCTGAAGAATGCTTCCTGGAGGAGGTGGGCATTGAACTAGCCATGAGGTGCAAGGAGGATTTGGAGGGGTGATGGGAGGACATGAGGATGCTGCCGCTGAACAGGTATGGGAGCCAGGGATGCCTACCTCCCTGAAGTCACCCCGCAAAGCTGCCTAGAAGAAGTGCCACAAGGGTGGAGCTCACAACAGCCACCGCCCCCAACTGAAATAAATGGAGGGGAAAGGCCAGAGCTCCTGGTTCCTGATGGGCCCTGGCCCAGGGAGGTGTGGTTTTTTTTGTTTTGTTTTTTGTCTTTTAAGATTTTATTTATTCCTGAGAGACAGACAGACAGAGAGGCAGAGACGCAGGCAGAGGGAGAAGCAGGCTCCCTGTGGGGAGCCTGATGTGGGACTCGATCCCAGGACTCCAGGATCACACCCTGAGCTGAAGGCAGATGCTCAACCGCTGAGCCACCCAGGTGCCCCTGGCCCAGAGAGTTGACAAGTCTCTGCAGACACAGCACACTGCAGAGCCCAGCCTCCTAACAGAGCAGGGCCTCCCATGCAGGCACTGTCATTCCATCAAACGCTGCCCTACCAGCCAGGGAGACAAGAGAGCCATTCTCCAAATTAATCTGTTTCATTAAGTGAGGCCTCAGAATGGTTCATTCACTTCACGTGCAAAGCATATTTGGAAGGAAGAAAAAAAATGCCATGGTCATCCAGCTCGTGTCAGGTGGCCCTGCTGGGCGAGGGACAGGAGAGCAAGCTGTCCCCATGTTTCCACATGCCACCCCCTCCCTGGGTCCCCAGGTGGTGCACTCGGGCCACATCCTGAACACTGCAGGGTGTTTACAGCCTCCAGCAGCTCTTGCTACCTCTGTCCTACACATGACCATGACCAGGGCTTGGTGTCCTCTAATTGTAGAACCAATTAAGGATCGTAGTCCTCCTTCCCTTCCTCTGCCAGCACGTGCCCAAACCCTCCCAGGGTGCCAGGCTCTTTCCCTAGGGACAGAGTTAGTGTTGGGCATCAGATTGGATTTTGCAGGCTCTCTGTGACATCATCTGGGTCACTGATAAAAATGAACAGGACATCTGGAATTAGTAGTGACGGATATGCAACTTTGTAAATAGACTAAAAATTCAGAATTATGTCTTTTAAAAGGGTAGACTTTGGGGCACCTGAGTGGCTCAGCAGTTGAGCGTCTGCCTTTGGCTCAGGGCATGATCTCGGGGTCGTGGGATCAATCCCCACATCGGGCTCCCCGCAGGGAGCCTGCTTCACCCTCTGCCTGTGTCTCTACCTCTCTTTGTGTCTCTCA